ATTTCTGAGGTTTTAATGTTTAAATTAATTTGAATTAATGCTATTATGTTGTTAATGTCGGGTCGTTGACCTGTGTATACGTTTTATTAGTACGTCGTATCTACGCTTGTATTAGTCATAGAGCGATTCAGCTTTATATATTAGTATAGGTAAGTGTCCAGAAGATACATTTTTGGATTTCTCCATGTTGCTTCAATTTATAAATTAGTTCAATTTATTTATAGTAATAAACTAAGTGCTTACATAACGTTTATATTAATTATTATTATTTATATTTGATATCAATATTACTAGCAATCTAAAGGTCGCATTAGATATAAGAATGATCAATTGTCCGTTTAATAAATGGGGAGACTAAAGATAGAGGACGTCTCTGACGTCAAAGTAAAAATCTGGTCTCCCCGTGGCCCCGTTTTAATCGTTAAAGTATTTTATTTAAATTATTATTTTTTTTATTATTCCTAACAAAAAGGAATAAGAATGACAGGGACAACAATAAACAAGATAGTGATTCGGCATAGATATTTAAAAATGCGTGTCTTCTTGATTAGTATAAGATACATTACAATCTGATTATTAATTTATGGGTGACAGCGGAACATATATAAAAACAAAAAAGTTAAAGTTGTTTCCTCTTAGCTTACCTATATTCAGGTAAAAAGCTACAGGTTTCATCCTACATACATACTCTTAACAAATAAAAATATAAAAATACACGTCTATAGATAGGCATTTTTATTTCATAAAACACCTATACAGTTTATCAAATATGACCTATACTGCTTAAAGAAATAGCAGCGTAACCTTTTAAGCCGGGGTTGTGTTAGGCTGTGGCCTCCAATAAACACCCTATTGCGAGTTCAACTTAACGCGTTACGCCGCATATAATCAACGGACGGTTCGATCTCGGGTCCAACATTTTCTAATCAATTTATAATTTTTCCGAAACATATTGGATTTCATCTGAAAATCTGGATATTTTAAACGGGTTACTAGAACTAGAACGAACGAGATTTCGTTCGGGTCACGAACTACCGTCGGTCATGAAAAAACCGTGAAGTTTAATCGCATTTCGGTTTTAGTCTGTTGATTTCCAAATATTCAAAGCCAAAATAGGTCATCGGCGCAACTTACTTAGATTTTATACAGCTGGGGTATTTTGCCTCTATCATAAAAAAATATTTGGTGACCAGCTTACAACGCTATTTAAAGAACAATGGTGAAGTTTTATATTTGATAATCATAATTGGTAGACGCTACGTCAGGGTGTGAAGAACACAACAGTACTCCTTACTCGAGTAACGCCTTTCGTTATACGCGACTAGTTGCGTAAATAGGAGACGACAGCCTAAGACCAATCGATAGTTCGGTCACAGGGCGAATTCATCACGCGACTAGCTCCGTACTCTAAAGTCTCACGTAACCTGCTTTGAATTTAAAACAGCGAACAATACCTTTTCCTGTAGTGATTTTAAAGTTTCTAGAACTGATAGGAAATTTTTACATTCGTTTTTCGTAGTTTTCGGTAACGATTAAAGTTTTTAAATAAAACGCTATAGCGGTTTAAAACGCGATATATATAGTTAAACTTATTTGAAAATTATTTTAACTACGGCTTGACGTATAAAAAAAGTATATTGCGCTATAACTTTATTTAAAAGTGTGCTTCTTGCGTAAACTACAAACGTGTATTGAATACAGTTTTTATTTTTTAAATATGTTGTTACATATACACTTGGTTAAATAAAATATTAACAAACAATGCTTATAAGATATACTATATTATAGTGCAGGTACAATTGCACTGCGGTATTATTTCCTAAGGTAGGCAATGATACTTTTACATACTTACAATTACGAGCTTAGAGCCACATCTAGTCTAGCTTAAGAGGTCCGATAGCAATAATTTCTTTTATAATCAAAAACAAAACTCGTTCAACTTGTAACATTAGTAACGATTTCTCTATTATCATACAACGACTATGTTAAACTACGAGTATAGGCGATGTTGTAGGGTAAAGTTATGCTAATCCCCCGAGCATCGATGTCAAAGCAACCTGTAATATTTATAGCCCTTGAATGCTAAACGAATAACTGTCGATCCTTCGAGAATCTAATACCGTGGAGACTATATTTCTTCCTGTTATATTAAATATTCATTTCGGGTTTACTTGTGACAAGTTTTCGGTTGTCATAAGTAACTTAGTTTTGTTATATATATTTTTGACACGGTAGCTCAACTGATAAAGCACCATTCGTGGCTGCGAATCCCGGGTATGTCTGTAGTATGACGAGTAGTACACATTTAAATGAAATACTTTAACAGTTTAAAACGCGAAATATGTGAGAGTGTGAGTGTGTCAACGGCTGCTGCAAAGTATTTGAACCATTGGGATGTCGCTAAAATAATGTTCAAATAAGTGTAACTAATATATTCGCGTTTTGAACCGTTAAAGTGTTTCATTTGAATCCCAGTTGTATCGTTAATTACATGTTGCTACTTGCCCAGAAACATGCAGTCTTTGTGTCTTTTATTTATTTTAAGACGTCGAATTCCTCGTTTAAGTTATTATATATACATAATTGAGGGATGTATCGGACAATTTTCTCGAAGTGAAACACGGGAGGGGTGAATATATGAGTGTAAAGGGACGTTTAATCCACCCCGCTGTAATGAGGCGTAATTTATCACAAGGGTGAATCGGAAAATATTATTCTTCGTATTTTCTTTTCGAATATTTGGGTTATGAATATTTTATATAGTTGCCGGGGGATTATGGGTTCTTGTTATATAATGAGGTGACTGACACTTTTAAATACAATGACTTAATATCTTATGTAATTCAATTTAATGATTTTTATGATAGGGAAGGACAGAGAGCGCGCACTTGATGAAAGGTGAAACCTAAGCCGTTTAACATCTAAACAAAATGCGATGTCGACCTACTCGCATTTTGGCTTCGGATATTCGACAGTTGTATATTCTTTACTTTAGTCGTTGGGGCACTAGCGTTGAAAAAGTGCCGTGTCTAATTTAAGTAACACGAAAAAGTTATACGTTCTCCGAAACAATTTTACTCTCTTGAGCTCATTTTCAGACGTCATTTCTAATATCATAATATATATTTTCAATCTCAAATAAATTTTAATCTATACTAATATATAAAGGTGAAGAGTTTGTTTGTTTGAACGCTCTCATCTCGGCAACTATGGTTCGAATGGAAAATTTATTTTTGTGTTGGCTAGAAATTTTATCGAGGAAGGCTATAAAAACATGGCGTTGTAACGTATAGGAGCGAAGAAGCAGCGGGATATGTAAAAAACAGAGGAAATTGTTCATTCTTGTGGGTGTCTGTTGCGTGCGCTACAAAAACTGTTCAACATACCCAAACAATGTGTACAAAAGAATGATTTCACTTTAAAAGATCTAAAAAAATGTTTATATATGTCTATCTCTTAAGATTAACTTGCAAGAACGACGGAGAGCCACCGACGTGGACGTCGTGGGTAACAGTTTAAATTTATAAACATCAAGAGGAGGTGTATAAAACCAAACTTTGATGTCCAATATACTCTATGCGGACGAAGTCGCTGTCACAGCTAGTTTTTCATATAAAGTATTAATACCATAGTAACGTTGGTGATTTCTTTTAAATGTCTATGTTTTGAGAATAATAATCGTATTATAATTCAAAGTATAGTCATACGACAAAAACAGAATTGTTTTTATCTATCAACTGAAAAATCTCTATGTAAAGCTTCTTGGCTCTGTCGCGGTTGCAACAGAGTCACGAAGCTGTAAAGAAACAAACGAAGGGAACCATTAATAAATTAACAATTATTTCAAACATGAAACATTGTTTCAGTTAAGTTTACATTATAAAGTACTCAAAACTCTAGTTCTAAGTAACTCTGATTTCTCATGGGCTAAAAAGTACTAAGCAGTATGAAGTAGTATTTGATTTTTGTTTTCAAACTAATATAAGTTAGCGGAAAGTTTGAAGCAGGTTGAATGAAAGAAGCAAAGAGGAACGCTAAAGTTTCAATTCAAACAGGTATATTGTATTTATTGCTTGGGAATTGTTTTAATTAGAAATAGCATTATTGGAGACCACCATTTTGATTTCTTAAATTACTATGTAGTTAAGCTATTGGCATAAAAGAACGTTTGCTTCAATAAGAATAATTTATTGAACTTATTTTAATTTAAAACACTTTGACGGGTTAAAACGCGATAAATTTTAGCTAAACTTGTTTGAAATTTATTTTTAACTACGGCCCGACGTTTCGGATGCTTTGCAGCAGCCGTGGTCACGGGGAGACTAAGGATGAGACATCCTCCATCTTTATCCGCGTTACTGACAGTATTAAAAACAATTTTTTGTCAAAATTAAATACTATACTTACTAATTAAATATATGCTTCTAATAATTTTAAATATATGTATAACATAATATAAAATACGACAAATCATTGTCATAATCCCGAAAGTACTTTTAGTGATTAGAATCAATGCCCTCGAGCTTTTAACAATGAAATATTAATGTTAATGAACAGTATAAAATTTGTGAAAATTAAAAATTGCGGTTAAATTACTTTTAAATAAAACACTTTAACGGTTTAAAACGCGATATATTAGTTAAACTTATTTCTCTCTCTCTGGAGGAGTCTCCCCGCAGCACTTGGTTGCTGCAAAACATCTGAAACGTCGGTCCGAAGTAAAAAATAATTTTCCAATAAGTTTTACTAATATATCGCGTTTTAAACCGTTAAAGTGTTTTACTTAAATGTGTAAACTATAGACAGTGTTTAGTATGATGTAATGATGAATAATTTTTTTTTTTTTTCGCATTTCTCGCTGTATCTTGCCTTGTATTACTCACAGGGCAATGTTCTATAATTCGAACCCGTAGTTTATGAGTTTAGCGCGTTCAAATTTACAAACAGACAAACAAACTCCTCGGCGTTATATATTAATCTAGATAAAAGTAGGTACTTACCGAAAACATCAATGCATCCAATTTGCCAGGTCATTGTGGGCTGGGTGTTAATCTGACACATGTAACAGCCTCTGTCTTCAGCCCTCAATGGCCGAATCCGTAATTGCCATGTCCTCGGGGGGTCTAGGGTGACAGCGTATCGGGATCCTAATACTGCTCTTTCGTGCATTGTTAGCACCGTTTGGTCTTCAGCACGAAGCCAGCCAACCTGTAGAATTTAATAAAGTAAGTTGATTTTTTGCCTTGTTAAATGGCTATTTCCCGGTCATGCAGTCTTTCCGAGGTTTTTTCACACTAAAGTTTTTGTAACATATGACTCCTTAATAAAGGCATAGTTGGTTAGAACCGGCAAATTGCGAGTTGGACTTGTGTTGGACGTACCATTACCATGAAACTATTATAACGACATAATACGATCACGTTTCTTTATTTTGTTGAAAGCTTTACTGGCTCCCCCCCCCCCCCCCCCTTTTTTTTTCTCCCCCCCCCCCCCCTTTCCCTTTTTTTTTTTTTCCCCCCCCCCCCTTTTTTTTTTTTGTTTTTTTTTTTTTTTTTTTTTCCCCCCCTTTTTTTTTTTTTTTTTTTTTTTTTTTTTTTTTTTTTTTTTTTTTTTTTTTTTTTTTTTTTTTTTTTTTTTTTTTTTTTTTTTTTTTTTTTTTTTTTTTTTTTTTTTTTTCCCCCCTTTTTTTTTTTTTTTTTTTTTTTTTTTTTTTTTTTTTTTTTTTTTTTTTTTTTTTTTTTTTTTTTTTTTTTTTTTTTTTTTTTTTTTTTTTTTTTTTTTTTTTTTTTTTTTTTTTTTTTTTTTTTTTTTTTTTTTTTTTTTTTTTTTTTTTTTTTTTTTTTTTTTTTTTTCTTTCCCCCTTTTTTTTTTTTTTTTTTTTTTTTTTTTTTTTTTTTTTTTTTTTTTTTTTTTTTTTTTTTTTTTTTTTTTTTTTTTTTTTTTTTTTTTTTTTTTTTTTTTTTTTTTTTTTTTTTTTTTTTTTTTTTTATATAACGATCGTTGTAATGTAGCGTGAAAATCCGTTACCAATACATTAAAATAAATGTAAAAAAAATATAAATATACTTTATTCTCTTCAAAATTTTAAAAATTATTTAGATTCGCCAAAAATTTTTTGTATGAATTAGCTGAGTCAAAACTATTTATTGTTGCTCCAAGGTCTAGATATTTTTTTTCACTTCTCGCAAAGCGTTAAATTAATTATTAAGAAATAAGTTTATTATTAAAAACTTTACCTTCACGTATCAGTAATGACTTTCTGGTCTACTAAATGATTTGGCAAAATATTGTATGGGGTTCCCTTCGTGAACAGTGAAATATCTCCGCCATGTTACATCTCGATAGAATGCCCTGTTAACCTATTATGGCTTTAGATATTCCGGAATCCACGGACACCGAAGCGCGAGGAAGCTTTTTTGACTGTGGTCAGTAGATGTTAACCCGAACAGAATTTCGATATTCTTACCGCCCATTTTATATCCATAATTCCCGACGAAGACAAAATTGTTTTAGATACATGTTTATATGTTAATTAATGTATTTAATTAATATATAAACATGTTGGTCTCGGTTGGGAACGAATCCACCAGCCGTTGTTTATTAGCTACAATTAGACCAATAAACACGTCAAAAGTTAAAAAAACATTATTTCCTAGCAAAAGTTTTCCATTACACAATCTCGACAAAGGCAACAAACCGCGTTGCTTTCCAATACTTGTGCCATACACTTCAGTCACGGGTTCATTACCCGCAGTCGACAGTAAATACACAGTACAGCGTCAGGAACGCTTGTAATACTGTGAGAACAAACAGCTGCGCGGTACGCCCCATATACCCGTTTTATTTAGCTTTGTTTTTAACTTTTACACGGATAAGGCTTTCTATCGAATTTTCATTTTAAAACTATGATAAGTTGATTAAACCTTAATTAACTTTTATTACGTTAGATATAATCGATCAATCGGATCATTAATCGGAGATAGCTAAAGCCAAAAATCCGAATATCCAAAGCAAAAATAGGTTGACGTCCTATGTTATTTAAAAAAACCTTCTTGTGGAAAGGTGGCTCGCTACGTAACGAAACACATTGTAATGTGAGGGTTTTAAGTAATTACTTTGGTCAGGAATTTTAGCATCTTAAATAGTGTATCAAAACATATAGTAAAGTTGTATAAAATATTATACTAACCAACTTGTTTTATTACTGTTGTAACTAATGTTCAAAGTTAACTTTTTATTAGATGTACCAAATAGAATTAAAAGCAGTAAGACTGCCTTATTTATCCAATTGCTCTTGTCTAATTTATAGTATGCACTAGTCAAAGGATATTTTTGTAGTAAATCATTTATACACAAACATAGACACTTAAAATTATATACAAAATGAAATATGTCTGTACAAAGGCGGCCTTATCGGCTATAGCGATTTCTTTCAGGCAACTTTTGAATTTATAAATAAAAAAAAATAGAATTACAGTAAGGAAGCAAATATCAATATGCAATAAAATGAACATTTAAACTATAAATGAACACAAAAATACTTAAGCAATATAATCTTTGCAACCAAACTGAATTTCTGTTATAGATAGATAGAAAATTGTAAATTGAAAAGCCTATTTATTATGCAAGCTTACGTCTACGAGCGATTGAAAAGCGATACCCAATTTACTTAATCTCGTGGTAGGAGGGTGCAACTGTGATTATAATACCGCAGCGAGATCACTTCACTACCAACTAATCTGGTGTACACGGTATATATTCTATTGTTGTGCGACATACCCAAATTGTATGGTTCGGATATCAAACAACACGGACCGTATTTAATAGACTCCGTACTATGTACTGGTATCTCTTCTACTAAGATAAACTATGTATAAACTAATCTATACTTCTATATTAATATTATAAATGCGAAAGTAACTCTGTCTGTCTGTCCGGCTTTAACTCCGAAACTACTGAAATTACTGATTTAAATGAAATTTGGTACACAGATATTTTAGAGCCTTTGTAATACCAAAAAAGGGTTGATAGGGGTGAAAAAGGGGATGAAAGTTTGAATGGAAATACGTGGTTTTTTAAGCTAGAAACATAAAACGTTCTTGTTTGGCTTTTTGGGAATAGAAGTGGGAGTAGGAGTGATGTGAGGTGAGAGTATTGTGGCAAAGTAGCACTAACAACATAGATTGGCTGCCTTAAATGCGCCCTTAGATAAATTAATAAACAGCCTTAATAATTAAAAATTATATCCTAAGTCACTATTCCACGCGGACGAAGTCGCGGGCACAGCTAGTATGATAAAGCTCTTAGAAGGTAAGTGATTAACAGTTATTTTTACTTTTTTATTTTTATATACCAATATATAAATATAAAAAAAGTAATTAATAAAAAAGCATCGAATGTATTTATCATCATATATCTATAGAATTATTTTAATTAGACACATTAAACCTAGACACATTTAACCGCAAAAATAAAATAAAAACCTCTTTTAAAATAAACTTAAAATATTAATCAATAAAAAAGCTAACACTAATTATCATAATATGCCAGTGTGTTGTATAGAATCATTTTAATATTTATATTTACAAAAAAATATAATGTATTATTATTACTAGAATGGTTTGTAGGTAGCACAGATCACCTCCAATCCTCCTGTTCCTTGGAGGTGATCTGTGGTAGGTAGTATGTTTTTCGTGTTAGTGATATTATTTGTATGGTCTTACTTTATGTTTGGCCAGATTCAACACGGAACACCCGAGCACAGCCTCTCGTCCGAGGAAAAATGTGTGGTTTCCGATTGGTTTTTCAAATTCTGGTTCTTCGGAAAACTTTTTAGTTGTATGTGAATCTGTAACAAAATATGTGCTTTTAAACTGACAATACACATTCTCATTTTTTACCTTTATCTAAATACAAGAATAGACAAAGCTTTTAAAATATATTTCTTTAAATATATTTTAAAAGCTTCTTTAAAATATATTTAAAGAAACGGACTTTCTTAATGCCAATGGTCAAATAAAAAATCAACAATAATTTATATTAACACTCCGTGTCATTCCTCCCCATAGACACATGCCATTGGAAGAATTCATTTAGAAGAGAAAAGGCACTAAACTAGGAATAAAAAGACAGTAAATTTTAACATAAGTAATTCTTATGTTTGCTATTTAGACTAAAAAGGAAAGCCACAGTTCCCATTGGATGAATAACCGAAGCTTTGGTCGCATCATAATTACCAAAAAAATATTATTTATGTCGAAATAACAACATAGATTTTAAATACTAAATATTGTCATGTGCGAGTAGTACACATTACAATAAAACACTTTAACCGTTTAAAACGCGATAAATATTAGTTAAACTACGGCCCGACGTTTCGAATTCTTTGCAACAGCCGTAGTTAGTTGGCGAAGTTTCTGCGATGTTTTTAAAGGCCGATACGTTAGTTGTCTTCTAAATGTATGTTTAGTCTGTAGTTAACGCGAGTAGTACACATTGTAATAAAACACCTTTAACGGTATAAATAAGTGTATTATTTTTAGATACGTTTATTTATACAGATTGATTAACAGTTGTTGTATTATCTATGGCTAAGTATTTAATCATTATCCACTTAAGTCCGTGTTATTCGTCTGCCAATCTGCGGTTTGCGGTTAGATGTCGTGCAGTGATCTGACAATGAACAGTGGTTAGTTATACAAGCGGTTGGAGTGGGTACAGGTGTTTGAAATCTAAATTTAGTTATAAAAATTTGTTAACGCATTATATATACAAAATACAGTAAGTATTTTTATTTGCCGGTAAAAAAGTGCAGTTTAGCTTTTAAATTAATTGTTAAATGTATATGGCTTTAACTGCCATTTTTAAGCTACCCAAGTAAGCTAAAACGTCTTCTAGAATAGAATAGAATCGAAGGCTTGAACACCAAGTATGGTATATTAACATTTTTGGATGGTTTAACCTCTCTATAGAAAAAATATGGTTTATAACAGTAAAATATAACGTTGGAAAATTTATTCGAAAATTAAAATGAAAAAATTAAATTAATATGAAAAAATTTTCAATTTATTTTCTTTTTTTTAAATTATATAGTGCCTTCATGTGCAATGTAACAAAATAATAAAGTTTTCAAACGTTATAATTTTGTAATTTCCTCTTCAATGATTTCTCAAGCTGAAAAGCATAAGAACAATTTCAACCTTAATACGCGTAATGTGTAAGTGAACTGGCGTAGATTCTATCAATAAGTTGACTCGGTAACTCAATTGGTAGAGCAACAGCACGGAACGCTGACGATGCCGGTTCAAGTCCTGCCCGAGTCGAAATTTTTTTCAATTTATTTTCGATTTTTAAATTAAATAGTAAAATATAAGTTAACTATTTACACTTTGTTTTGATTACGGCCCGACGTTTACATGACTCACGTTTGGGACGTACCGTAGCTTAAATTGTAAATAAGTTAACCAATACATTTCGCGTTTTAAACCGTTATTAAAATGACTCGCAAATTTACAGAATAGTACTCTATGGATTTTACTTGTATGTGTTTACATAAGCGTAGATAGCTGTGTGTGTAGATGTAGAAGATAGGACTCTAAAATATCTTCCGTTAAAACACCGCAGAAACTTACTTAATAACCAAAAAATTAACTGAAACTCGCAATTCTGAAATTAAACCAAGCGCTAATACGGTATAATCTAGCAAACTGCATTAAAGTACCGAGAACTAATATTGTTCTACAATAGCCTTCAATCAATTACAGCCTTTGTGAACTTAATCATAAGGCTTAAGATCGCAGACTTGCGATAGTAACTTTGTTTCCCCTTTGAAACTGGCACGAAGTTTTAAGTTTGAGACTAGAAGTTATATATTGAAATATGCTTAATTCAAGATGCTTTGTGTTTCGGCTTAGGTATTGATAGTTGGAAGTTTGGAGAGACAAGCGTCATATCATATTATCGGGGACTAAGAAATAACAACATCCACTTTGAGAAGTGCCGAGTCATTCTTGCTGGTTCAGTTTTCCTTTCTCCATTATCACATAATTACTTAATAAGCGCCTTGTTAAGTCAAATAATGAAGAAATATAATTAGGGTAGTTATCGTTTACGTGTGGCTTTATTTATTTGTGATTAATGTTATAAACAAATAACAATAAGCATGTGACTTGGTATTGTACGAAAGAATTTTCTATACTAATATGTAACGCTGAAAAGTTTGTTTGTTTGAACGTGCTAATCTCAGGGACTACTGGTTCGAATTTAAAAAAACTTTATGGGTTGGTTAGAAAATTTATCGAGGAAGACTATAAGCTACAACATATCGCGATGTGACTTATAGGAGCGAAGAAACAGCGGCAAATGTGGCAAAAACGGGGAAAATTATTTATCATTATGGGTTTCCGAAGCGTACGCTGGAAAAACGGTTCAAGATACCCAAAAAATATGTATGAAAGAATGATTATCCTTAAAATGATCTAAAAAACAGTCCTATATCATAATATATATAAGGGACGCTATATGTCTATCTTATAAGATTAACTAGCAAGAACGACGTGAAGGGACGCGACCGAAGTCGTGGGTAACAGCTTTAGTTTATAAAGATGAAGGGGTTTGCAAAAACGAATTTGGATGCACAAAATAACGATTCTCGCGGACGAAGTCGCTGACACAGCTAGTATGATATAAGAGAAAACGTTTTTTTTTTAAAATTTTCTTTATAACTTTTCAAAACAGTTACGAACAATTTTGGTTGTATTTTTAATAGACAGTATAAAAGCTTATTTATGAACTATGTTGCCTAGAATGACGTAGTTAGTTTTTTAAACCTAGATCTTCAATTGTCTTATTTACACGCTTACAAAATTGAGAAATTAAAGACAAGCACAAAATAAGTCGAAATCGCATTTTCTTAAATAAGGTTTTTCATTGAATAAGTTCTAGAACGTACTGCGTCCCCTGTGGAGTGGAAATTGTGGTGAAACTTTCACGATTATGTTAACTTGACCCGTTTTCAACGTCGTGCTAAATTTTAAGTTGTCAGCTTAGATTGTGGAATTTACTTAAACTCTAGCTCTAATCGAGTCCCGCGACTTTATTTATCAGTACTTAAATAACTTTTATAAGTAACTACATCGTTGTAATGGTGAAGTACACTTATTCAAATAGAATAAGGGTAAAACTACTTTCTGAAACAAAAGAACGCTGATTTGACTATAATATGTGTTTATATTTTGTTAATATTATAAAGACGTTGGTGCAGTTACTATGCTAATATTATAAATCTCAATATAATAAATGTATTATTATTTAAAAATACTAAATATCCTGTTATAATTTTATTATAAATATTCTGTGATAATTAGTAAATAGTTTAACATATATTTCGCGTTTTTAACAGTTAAAGTATTTTTTAAATGTGCACTACTCGCGTAAATGATAGACATTTCTTACTATTATCTATACTATTCAATCCTTCAATAAAAGGGAATATACAGTAGATATATAGGATTCTCTATTGAAAATATTCTCGATCGATCTATGGATAGATATAGGTGAATTCGCATTAGCATTCCGTGGCAGGTGCGGGTCTGCCGAAGCGAGGCCCTCGTATATTGCGTTTTTCAGCGAGGCCGCCCTCGAATTATTGAGGAAAACCGTGTGAAAAGTGTTTTATCGCTGAACTATGTGCGCCCGACGATCCATGAAGCTACATAAATAATGTAACACATATATTTATGTTTTTTCCGCTGTAAGTTACTCGCTTCGGATTTTCTAACTATAATCAAATATAGTTTTTACCTCGAAAAATATTATAAAAAAAACACTTTAACGATTTAAAACGCGATATTTTAGTGCCTAAACTTATTTGAAAAATAGTGTTCTACTTAAAGTATACTGTAAATTATAGATAGAGTGTACCAAAAGTTAATGAACCCGGAAGAAATGAAAATATTAAGAACTAATGTATGTGTTTATAATAATGTAAAAAAAGATATTTTATGACAGACAAGTATTTTTATATATACACTATATTTATCTTTAAGTTTATTAAAGTTCAATCAAAATACATATCCAAAAGGGGTGAGGGGTGCGACGCAGACAAACGATTTTCACACCTACGAGTAATTTCAGTTGGCTGGTTGATCATAACAATTATGTTTCCTTGGAACGCATTGCAAGGGGCGCTTTTACCGTTTTAAACCCCTTTTTTTTTTTTTTACTTATTTGAAAATGATTTTTAAATCCCCCCCCGACGTTTCGGATGCTTTGCAGCAGCCGTGGTCACGGGGAGAGCATCCCCGAAACGTCGGGCCTGAAGTTAAAAATCTCCATTTTCAAATAAGTTTAACTAATATATCGCGTTTTAAACCGTCAAAGTGTTTTATTTAAATGTGTACTACTCGCGTAAACTATAGACAGTATTTAGCCTTTACTTACTTACTTTTATATGTTTATTTCAGTTAAGCTTATAGCGATTATTTAGTACTGTTTTATTACAAAGAGCTTTTCCTCCGAAAAAGGCCTCCTCTAAAAGTTTTCCTTCTTTCCTTTTTTCCCCCCCCCCGTATTTATCTTTAAGCTTTATTAAATTAAAGTTCAGTCAGAAGGAGAAAAGAGTTCAGGAGATTCTTTTTCCCCCTCTAGAAACTCATTCACTTACAGTTTTAGTTTTGTCATCCCTTAACAAATAAACTTAGTATTAAAAATTTTAAAACATTTAAATTATTGTTTATTATTACATTTTTTATGAACAAATAAATCAATTACCAAGCTCTCAAGTAGACTTACAATAGTATGGAATATAAGCTAATAACAAAATCCGTTTATATAGGAGAGGAGGATCAC